GAGAGTCAACAATCACATTCTCCAACTAGGGATTCATATTCTCCAACTGAAACACCTTCACAGCTGAGCATCAACAATCACATTCTCCAACTAGGGATTCATGTTCTCCAACCGAAACACGGTCAGACCTGAGAGTCAACAGTCACATTTTCCAACTAGGGATTCATATTCTCCAACCGAAACACCTTCATAGCTGAGAGTCAACAATCACATTCTCCAACTAGGGATTCATGTTCTCCAACCGAAACACCTTCACAGCTGAGCGTCAACTATCACATTCTCCAAGTAAGGATTCATATTCTCCAACCGAAACACCTTCATACCTGAGAGTCAACAATCACATTCTCCAACTAGGGATTCATGTTCTCCAACTGAAACACCTTCACAGCTGAGCATCAACAATCATATTCTCCAACTAGGGATTCATGTTCTCCAACCGAAACACGGTCAGACCTGAGAGTCAACAGTCACATTTTCCAACTAGGGATTCATATTCTCCAACCGAAACACCTTCATAGCTGAGAGTCAACAATCACATTCTCCAATTAGGGATTCATGTTCTCCAACCGAAACGTCTTCATAGCCGAGAGTCAAAAATCCCATTCTCCAACTAGGGATTCATATTCTCCAACCGAAACACCTTCATAGCTGAGCATCAACAATCACATTCTCCAACTAGGGATTCATATTCTACAACCGAAACACCTTCATAGCTGAGAGTCAACAATCACATTCTCCAACTAGGGATTCATATTCTACAACCGAAACACGGTCAGACCTGAGAGTCAACAGTCACATTTTCCAACTAGGGATTCATGTTCTCCAACCGAAACCCCTTCGTAGCTGAGCGTCAACAATCACATTCTCCAACCAGGGATTAAAATTCTCCAAACCGAAACACCTTCATCGCTGAGTGTCAAAAATAGGTATTTTCCCGGCAGAAATCCCAGTAGTTTAGTTACAATCTTTGCAAGTACGGAATGCGCTTTCAGTTTTTAAACTGCTGCACTGCTCCTTCCAATTGCCCCCCACTTTCTGTTGGCAACTATAAAACGGGCGTAGAAATGTTTTATGACTGGACACAACCTCTATTGCAGGGGGAGGCTGGGGTCTTCTGATGTGACATCTCCCCCTGCCCTTACAATGCCTCCCTCATCGGCTTACCATTCTGCACCATGGCGACAAAAGTCCGTGCCAGTTCTAGCAAGATGGCCGTGCCCACTCCAGACCGGGCAGCTCCAGGCCCCAGGGAGTCCCTCTGGGCCCCCACGATCAGATAGTGATCTAGTAGATTCATCGGGATGCAAAAAAACAGAGAATCCCCAGAGATCAGTCTCCCTTCTCCCTTCCTTGTCGCACCACCGTACTACACTCCCGTGGGCCCCGCTTGTACCGGGTTCAAATTTGCCCTCGATGCAGCCGAAAACGTTGTTAATCATCACCGACTGCTGGACGTTGTGCACCCCGAGCTGCAGGCGGAAGTTGGGGTCCCCGGGGCCGAGCAGGTAGGGGACCTCTGGTAGGAGGCCCCTCCAGGACTGGGGGGCCGGGGGTCCCGTCAGCTGCCTGCAAAGGGAGTCGGAAATGAACACGACAAACGCCACGTCGGAAGGCGGGCGCGGCTCCGCTCTCTTTCCATCCTTTCTCCCGCTCAACAATGCCCTCCCCTCCACCCCCCAAAAAAACCCCTCCCCAGCTACACACCGTAGCAAGTGGGCCGCCACGGCAGCGCTGATGGGGTGAGCCAGGATGGTGGGCAGCCCCGATGATCTCACGGGCGGAAACTGGGTGTGGTTGAAGGACGGGAAGCCAGGGCTGTAGGGATCTCCAGCCCCCATATGAACCTGCAAAGATGGCGGTTGGGGGGAGAAAAAGAGGCCACCCTGAGCTAGGAAAGCCATCCGGAACCTCCCTGGATCAAGGCAGTCTACCTCGGCGCAGGCCACAGCAGGGGCGCTGCCTCTTCCGCCGCCTGCTCAACGGAGCAGGGGTGAGTGGGAGCACCTGGGCTTTTATCTTCCTTTCTCCTCTCCACTGATCGTCGGAAGCTTTCGCTTAACAACCAGGTCGGCCGAACCGTTGCGAACCGGTTCGCGTAGCTCACCACTGCAATGGAACATCACTGTGCCCCTCCCCGCCGGATGTGTCGGTAACGGCCCCGGCAGGTAGCCGAAGACAAAATGGAGGGAGGGGCAGGTTCGACAGCTTGCTTCGGACCTCCCCGCCAAACCCCCCCCCCCCCCCCCCCCCCCCAATCTTACTCACGTGCCCGTAAATGCTGATGTTAGGGGAAAGGCCCAGTTTACGGGGGTCTTGGGGGATGTCGCTGGGATCCGGGTAGATGAGGAGACCCTTGGCTTGGCTAGCCTCTGCATTGGCCACCTGTGCGTGGGGGGGGGAGGAGAAAGTGCTCGGAATGACCCTTCCCCTTTCGCGACCCTCCCCC